AAAGGGAAGGTCCCCTATGAGCTGCCTACACTACTAATTTACATCCACTTCAGTTTATACAGCTTTATTGGTATAAAATTGAAGCACTGCACCGTAGACTTTCTAACTAAACCAATCACAAGAAAACATTGATAACTATTTTGTTCTAGCCGTACTAATAATAATTCTGCGTTCTTTGCGTATTTCTAGTTCTTCAGAAACCCGACTGGGTAAACGCCGAGATGAAATTTACACTGTCAGCGGACAGCTTGTCATCTTGGGATTCCATTTATGAAAACGATCAAGAGAAACTTTCTGAAGCGCCAGAATTTATCAAGAAACTAGCTTCTCAAGGTAAGTTTCAACAACAACAACTTTATTTGAACTTCGAGAATTAAGCCTAGATTTCAATATGTTATTTACGGCTGTGACTTTCATTGTTTTGGAATTGTAGCTGAGCTTGCTGATTATGACATAGGAAAAGTCCTTGGAGCTGGTTCATTCGGTCAAGTCGTCGCTGCAACACGCAAAGAGGACAATCTGCCGGTAAGTTGAGCTCAACAGTCTTCTGCATTTCTTTATTAAATCATGTAGTATTTTTGTGGGAAGAGATATTCGGGCAAGACTGATAAATATAAGGTCTTGTTTTATCCTGGACTCCCACTGGTATTTGCCTCATGCCAGTAAAACACCACGAGGTTCCAGATTTAGTCTAGATCTTGTCTACCAGTAACAGCAGTTGATAAATTCCAAAATATAGCATTGTTTTCTAATATATATGTAGAATTAAAGGAACAAAACTAATAGAGTTGATATTTCCTCTCAGGTGGCGCTTAAATTTGTGCAGAAAAGCTCAGTCAAGGAATTTAAAAAGGTTGGTAAATGTAAAATTGGGTTATCAATGAAAAAGAGTGTGGCTCATAGTTTCAAGACAGTTGTAATATAAGGGTAAAGAAGCAGTATGGTTAGTAAGTCGAAAAAGATTTTAACATGTTGTGATACTTGCGAAAACCAGTTGAAGATTTCGAAAAATGGGGCATAAAAAAAAAAACTAACCCCCTCCCCACCCCTGTTATAGATAAACGGTGGAGAAATTCCATCCGAGGCTTATCTTCAGCGCCAAGCAAGGCACCGTCACGTGATCGACATATATGAAGTGGTCGACACTGATGAGCATTATGTTTACGTCATGGAAAGACCGGAAGTCT